TACCAGCCGCTCCGCGGGAGAAAGATGAGGCTTTCTACTCCCGTAAAGATTTACACCCTTGGAAACCCTGTACAGGGTCACTATGGGTTGGACCCGACTCGATGGCACTTAACAACAACAACAATGACAAGTAGTTTTAATATGCAGTGTTTTATATTGACATTTGAGTAGATTAATAAATGAGAAGGCTCTCATCAATCTTCCATTTGTCTATCTAAAACAGTAGAAACAGCATCACTTCTTACAACATATATGCCAATTGTAAAGATACCCCCATCCTGTAAAGGAAGAATGTTAAATGCTTCCACAGATAGAAAATCAGCAAACTCTAGAATACAGAAAGAACACCCCAGCTCTTTGGTAAGTAATTTGAAATGGAAAAAAAAGAGCGAAGGGGAACCTACAGATCAAAAGAGTCATAGCAATCAGATTTGATTATAGAGTTTGTTTGAATCCCAGCCGAAACTAAAACCAAACAAAAAAGAATTGGCCACTATCAGGGAAATCTCAACACTGACTAGGTACTTAACAATAATTACTATCAAATTTAGATGCAATAACAGTATTATAGTTATGTTTTTAAAAGAAACTCTATATCCTAAAAGATGTATTTCTGTACTTCTTGATAGCTACGTATATTGATCTTCTTAAAATAATTCTAATAAAAAGGGGAGGGAGCGAGAGCAAAGAAAAGTTAAGTAGATGAAATTACCTCAGCCATGACTGTTCAATATTATAGTCTTTTCTTACTGTGAGGTGCTCTCAATTATGTTAAATCACAAAGTACTGCTGGGGGGGGGGGCACAGTTGCTTGAAACAAGCTCAGTTAGTATTAGTTTAGATGCTTAAAGAGATCACCTGATTAAACTGGTTAAGTGGCACAAATACACAGAGATCCAGATGATTTTACAATCACAACAGGCTGCTGATTGGTTATGCTTAATTATACTATAACTTAAAACAAATCTCAGAGACTGGGAAATCCAAGGACATGTCAAACATCTGTTAGTTAGTGCCTCCATTACTAACCAAGAATAGAATTTTGAGCAGTTTCTTCAAGAACATAAATTTTGACTAGAGGCAAAAAAACCCTAGATGGCTGATTGTGTTTTAAAAGTCTGTTTTGGAAGAACTGCAGCCAGAGTGCTCCCTGGAGGCCAAGATGGCTAAGCTTCGTCTCTCCTACTTTGGACATATTGTCTGGAGAGAACAGTTGCTGGAGAAGGATGTCATGCTGGGTAAGGTGGAGGGTCAGAGAAAAAGAGGAAGACCCCCAACGAGATGGATCGACCAGGTGGCATCATTGATGGCGTCAAGTGTGGCAGCGGTAGTGAGGTTGGCCCAGGATTGGACATTGTTTCGCTCTGCTGTGCATGGGGTCGCTATGAGTCGGTTCCGACTCGACGGCACCTGACAACAACAATAACAACAACTCCAGAAATACAGCAAAGAAAGCTGGTGCGGAGTCCTTACCTTCAGTATTGTTACCTTTTTATAAAAAGAAAGATAAAGCATGACAGGCACACTAATACATTCTCTTGCCATACCATTCATCCTTCACAGAACCACATTTTAAAAACTCATATATAAAACCCCTTACCTGTTCCAATATCCAGAATTATTGTCATAATTCTGAGGCACAATATTAGAAAGGTAAAAGGTTTCTGCCATAGCTTTCTGTGAAAAGAAATAAAAATATTAAGTTCCACGAAATCTCTTCACCTTTGAGAGATATTTTACAAAACACATACAAAAACTAGTTCTCATTATTCATATGCTAGCTCTAAGTAACTACAGTCAAAATAAGGACTTTAACAAAATAAGTAATTTGCTATGTTAGTTTTCTTTATAATTCATGAAATCCAAACTTAAAATCTAGATTATAAGAACTAGATGTTTCCAACATAAAACTAAAGGGTAAGCCTTGTTATAAGCATAAAAATTTAACAAATTAATTTCTGAAAAAAGTTCTACTTTAAAGATTTTTTTGTAGTACAGATTAGGTCAAAAGTGGCATAAAAAATTGCTTGTTCTTCTAAATTTCCGGCCACTGTGCATGCATCCCGGACTCTGGGTGTGGCTATGTAGGATAAGCAATGAACTGCAAACCACAAGGTCAGTGATTGAAACCCACCGCTGCTCCTTGGAAACCCTATATAGGATCACTTATGGGTAGGAATCAACTCGACGGCAGTAACAATGCACCCATCCAGGGTCCTGATGTGGCACTATAGGATAAGCACTATACTGATAACCACAAAGTCAGCAATTTAAAACTACCAGCCGTTCCTCAGAAACCCTATACAGGGTTGCTAAGTCAGATCCAACTTAAAGGCACTTAGCAACGCATACATCCAACTGCCTGGGTGATGCAGTGGTCAAAAGGCTCAGTTGCGAACCAAATGGTAGGTGGTTCAAACCCACCAGTTGTTTACGGAGAAAAAGATGCAACAATCTGCTTCCAAAAATATTCACATCCTTGGAAACTCTGAGACAGTTCAACTGGTCACAATGAGTTAGAATCAATAAGATGGCCATGGGCTACGGTTTTTTTGGTTTATTCATTGTATTTCCTTTTATTGATCCATTTTAACTGCCAGTGCCACCAAGTACCTTCTCTTCAAGCAGTGACTCTTAACCTTGGATGCACATTGGAAAAACCTTAGGAACATCAAAAAATTTGATGATTGGGTTTCACCCCAAGTGTTTCTGACTTAATTGGCTTTGGTTGTTGGTCTGGGCATCCAAATTTTCCAAAATTTACCCAAGGGATTATAATGTGCAAATTAATGACAAAACAACTAACAGTTTACATAATAAACAATATAAGATATGTTTCTTATTCATTGTTTGTTGTTGTTAAGTGCCATCGAGTCGATTCCAACCCACAGCGACCCTGCATAGGATTTCCAAGGAGCAGCTGGTCAACTTGAACCGCCAACCTTGCAGTTCAAACGACTTTGCAGTCTGACACATTAACCCCCAGCGCCACAGCAGGACTCCTATTCATTGTTAGGTGATGTCGAGTCAGTTCTGACTCATAAAGACCCTGTACACAACAGAATGAAATACTGCCTGGTCCTGGACCAACTTCATAATGATTATGTTTTAGTCCATTATTGCTGTCACTGTATAAATCCATCTCATTGAGGGTCTTCCTCTTTCACTGACCCTCTACTTTTCCAAGCATGAGGTCCTTCTTCAGAAACTTGTTCAAAGTATAAGAGACATCCTCACCTTCCTAGTTTCTAAGAAGCATTCTGACTGTACTTGTTCCTGGACAGTTTTGTTTGTTCTTCTAGCAGTATACAGTACTTTCAATATTCTTTACCAATACCGTAATTCAAACATATCAATTCTTCTATGGTCTTCCTTATTCTTTGTCCAACTTTTACATGAATATGAGGCCACTGAAAATACCATGGCTTGGATCAAGCACACTTCAGTCATCAAACTATTATCTTTGCTCTTTAATACTTTAAAGAGTTCTTTTGCAGATTTGCCTAAAGTAGTATGTCTTTTGATTTCTAGACTGCTGTTTCCATGAGTATTGATGGTGGGATCCAAACAAAAACAGGTCTTTGACAACTTCAATCTTTTCTCCACTTATAACATTTTACTGGTCCAGTTGTGAGAATTTTTTTCTTCAATGTGCAATCCATAATAAACATTTGATCTTCATTAGTAGTTATTTTAAGTCTTCTTAGCCTTCTACCACATGATTCTACTCCCCTGACCATAGCTAACTAGAAAAAAACGTAGGCTAACCCAAAGGGCGCCAGTCCATCCATGGACTGGAATGAACTAGAAAACAAAAACCCCCCAGTCTTTGCTATTGAGTCCATTCTGAGTCACAGCTACCCTACAGAACAAGGCAGAACAGCCACATACGGTTTCCAAGGCTGGAATCTTTACAGAAGCAGATTGCCATATCTTTCTCCCATGACATATCTGGTGAGTTCGAACTGCTGACCTTTCAGTTAGCAAATAAGTGCTTAACCTCTGCACCACGAGGGCCATAACTAGAGGCTTGGGAATTTGAATTATAAGTGGCAGAAGCTGGGATCAGCTGATTGCAGGTAACATGATCTCCGAGCCTAGGACAGCAAGGGTCACGTGAAAGATAAGGAAACTAATCAGAAGACTGCTACTGTTATTAAGTGCAGTCAATCATAGCGACCCTCTACAGGGTTTCCGAGGAGCATCTGACGGGTTTAAAATACTGACCTTGTGGTTCACAGTCCAGTGCTGATCGTACAGCGTCACAGAGACTAAGCAATCTAATAACAATAAATACCCCAAGTGCCCAGATTATTGATTCTAAATACCAGTTCTACTAAAAAGGACCAGAATTCCTTAAAGATGTGGCAGATTCCAGGAAGAGGGCAATATAAGATGAGCCTGAAATTTTTGCTGGATAAGAAAGCAAGGGAGCGCTCCAAGACTGATAAGGGCATTTCAAAAGGACATCAGGAGCTGGCTTAAAGGGACATGCACTAGATATCGCTGGGATACCTTTAAAATTTTTGACAGTATTGAGTCATAACACATTGAACAACAAAAAAATACATGAGTCTAAGGTCATAAAATAAAAATAAGATCAGACTTGATTGTCTGGTAATGCATGGAGGGAACTGTAATCACTGCAATGAAACGAAATACGATAGGATGAATGTAAAGCTAGTGTTCTCCCATGTAAACCATCACATAATTGACAATAAAAACTTAAAAAAAAAATCACGAAGGACAAGATTTAAAGTTTAGACTACATAAAAAATGTAAGTATCTGATATGGAAAATAGCATAAATAAAATAAAAGGAATTTACAGCCTGTAAGACAGAAAAAAAAAAAATAATAGGGTTTCACTCACAAAAAAAAAAAAAAAAAAAGTGAGTAAGGGATAGATAAGGGAACATGCTTCTTTACAGAATGCTAGCTAAATACAGAAAGAATGAAAGAACTTGGAAAATTCGGCAATTTGTAATTATTAACATAACTAAGATAAGAATCATAATGCATGATATTAAAAGTACTGAGATTTTAGATTATAGTATATTTACCATAAAAACAATTTACAGGTTGCTATTTTTTCAAACAGGAATCCTGGTGTAGCAATCTAGGATAAGCACCAGACCAAAAGGTCGGCAGTTCACACTCACCAACGACTACATAGGGTCACTGTGAGTCGGAACTGACTCGATGGCACTTAACAATCCTTTTAATAAGGGAAAAGTAACTTTACATTGGACAGACCTGATAAACACTTCAATCAAGTGATCAAACATGACATGATAAATAATGGAAATACTGAGACAGGCCTCCAGGGAGGACACAGTGAAAAGAACATAACATTGCCTATCTACTGTTCTTACTAAAAATTACCAATCCCAATCTAAAAACCATAAGGAAACAAACAAATGCAAATTGTAGGATAATCTATAACATAGTGGCCTGAGTATTTCAAGAACAATGTCAAAAGACATTTTTTCCTTTTTTTTTCAGCAGGGAAATTATTTTAAAGGAAAATAAAGAGACATAGCTACTAAATGTATTATGTGATCTATGATTGGATTCTGGATGGACAACTGGGACAATATGTGAAATTTGAATATGAATTCTATATTTGATAAGATTATGATACAAATGTACAGAAACGCATGTGATGATATCCTTGTCATTTATACAAATATCCTCATTCATGCTCTAAAACAATCTCTTTAAGAATGAAATGTTATGTCTGTAGCTTACTGTCAAGCAGTGTTTTTTTAAGTACATTGTTGTTAGTGTCGTCGAGTCGGTTCTGACCCATAGTGACCCTGAATAGGGTTTCTAAGGAGCAGCTGATGAGCTTGAACCACCAAACCTTGCAGTTCACATGGCTTCGCAGTCTGGAGCATTAACCCAGAGCACCACACCAGGGTATACATATATAAAATACATGTATTTTCTGGTACTATTTTTTTTTTTTGCGAGTTTAAGATTTTTACATAAAATGAGCAGCTCCAACTACCAGTGGCTTGGCAGTTCTCTTTTCAAAGGCATCTAGTTTTCTTTGGTCAGTCTAAGAATGTCTCATCATCTGATTAAAAACAACAAAAGTCAGGAAGGAGACTAGAAAATGAGTATGGAAATTCTCCAGTTTTAAAGTTTAGCTCCAAGGTATTTAATTTCCAAGTCCAATAGAAATTAACCAAATTAACCATACCACCACCCCATACTCCCAACTCAGCCTACAGTGGAAAATTTGTTATTTCCTGCTGGAGCCATGTGTCCACGTGACCACCCACTTCCAAGATAGTCTTCATTGTGGGCACTGAAGACTGGAGGAATGTCAGGATTAGGCTTGAATTTACAGTGTTTTCTGTCTGCATCACCTGAAGAAAAACATGAAATGGGTAAATTATCAGTGGACAAATACCCTGATAAATTCTCTAAGCAAGGCAAGCTGGTTGCTGTTGACTGGTATCTCTCCTAGCAGCTAGTACTTAGGAATTGCACGTCTGTCTCAAGTTCCTGAGATATTTCAGATACTCCATCTGAACTGAGAAGGGACTAGCCAGGGAAAGAATGCAAGAATGCTTTTCATACAATGTGGCCATTTCACATAATTCTGATCCTGGCCTTTCAAATTAAAAAGTAAACCACCCTCCCCCCACCCCCCAAAAAATAAAGTACAATCCCCTGGACAGTATTTAAGTAAAAACAGTGACCAATCAGATATATCTGTATAAAAAGTTAGTTACTAAATAAACTTTTAATAAAGACCCCATGTATTATATTCCATTCAATTGTGTTTTGACAAGTTTAAATGTACTGAAACAATGGATATATATAGACACAAAACAATTTGTTCTGAGAGGGCACAGCCTGGGGGAGAGGGGGAGGAGTGTCTGGTATCTTGCCTCTTAAGTCAATGACAAAACATCTAATTTATGAGTTCAATCTAGAAATTCCTGAAACAAAATATTTGAGTGCCACATGGGATAAGAAATCTGTTTTTACTTATGAATGGCTGTTTATCATAGAGGACATCAACAAATTCTAAAATTGCATTTTCTGTTGTCATTAAGACAGATCGTGCTATATTTGAAAAATTATGAGGACAAACAGAATATACTCAAAAAATTTGAAATGGGGATCAATGAAGTTACTGATGCCATCATTTAACTCAGCCAAGAAAAGCGAACGTCATCAGACTGCAAGGTGCATAGTAAAGCAATAATAGCGTCGTTAATTGCCATCAAGGATTCCAATTCAGGGCAGCTCTGTGTGTGCAGAGGAGAACTGCTCCATAGAGTTTTCAAGACTGAGAACTTTTCGAGAGCAATTTGCCAGGCCAGTCTTTCCAGGCACCTCCATTTTGACTAGTCACACTTTCAACTATTTGTACCATCTAGGAACTAAATGATCTAACAGGTAGCTTTTTATAATAACTTCATAAAGAATATAAATAACTGGCAGCGTATTAAGAATTAACATTAGTAAACTTCTAAGATGTCATTACCACTAGAATCACTTACTTGTATGCTGATTACCTTTGTCTGATAACTCATTGCCCTTGAAAAACCACTTTGGAAATTTCCAAAGGTCTAGGTACAGCACTGTGGGTTAATGTGCTAGACTGCAAGGTCAATTTGAACTGCAAGGTTCAAACTCATCAGCCACTCCTCGGAAATCCTATACAGGGAACCGACTCCACAGCATTTCACAACAACACGAAGGATGAAAATACTTTCCTTGGTGCAAATTTGCTTCTACTGGGGTCTGGAGGCATTTCCAGCAGAGGACCATGTTAATCCAAATACAGGATTTACAGATTCCATACCTACCCAGGCTATATGGATTTGGGCTATGAGACTGCAGGAAGGCTAGTGTGTGGCCTCAACTACTCTGGAACATGCTTTTCATTTTCCTTGTTGACCTTTCTCTGCTTACTGCCATAATCAACTTCCATGTAGTTCCTCAGGGAAGGCAGGCCGGTAAACTGATTCACACTTTCCAAGGGTGTGTTGTTGTCAGTGCCATCGAGTCAGTTCTAACTCATAGCAACCCTGTATAGGGTTTCTGAGGAGTGGCTGGTGAGTTTGAAACACTGGCTATGCGGTTAGCAGTCCAGTGCTTATCCTATAGCACATCAGGATTCCTTCCAAGGGGGCAGCCCTTTGGAAGTTTAGCTTAATGTGGGGAAGGTCTCCTATAAGACAACCTATCTTGGGCAAGTGCGAGTAAAGCAAAGGAGAAATAATTTGTGGATGGTGGTGTAGCACTATAGGATAAGCACTGGACTGCTAACCACAAGGTCTGTGGCTTCAACTCACCAGTTGTTCCTCAAAAACTTTATACAGGGTTACTATGAATCAGAATCAACTTGAAGGCATTTAAAAACAACATATCAAATTAAAAGGCAGTAAAACTGTGCCAAAAGATAATATTCTTTATATAAAGAACTCCTATAAATCAATTAAAAAATATTCCAACTGAAAATGAGTAAAATATAATTTATAAAATGTTATCCCTCATAATAATAAAAAAACACAAACGAATCCAACTACTACATTGGAAAAGGTCAATAATGCACACTGTGGATGAAACATAACCAACTGCTAAATTGGATAAGGTCAATAATGCTCACTGTGGATGAAACATAACCAACTGCTAAATTGGATAAGGTCAATAATGCTCACTATGGATGAGGGTTGTTGTTGTTAAGTGCTGTCGAGTCAGTTCCGACCCATAGTGACCCTGTACAGGGTTTCCGAGGGTGTAAATGGATGAAGGTTAGGAAACAGAAAATCTGCTATGGGAGTATAAATCAGAAGAATTCTCCATCTAGACACCAATGTGACATTGTAACAAGCTCTGATCGTCTTAATTACAGGATCTACCAAGATATGTCATGAACACATTTACGCACCTGCCTACTTCTCCAGCCTCATTTGACATCAAGTTCTCCCTTGCTTGCTCACCAAGCTCCAGCCCCTCTGGCCTTCTTTTAGTTCCCTAAAGGAACAAAACTTTTCTCCACATTGTGGCCTACAAAATTTAGAGCAAGAAAGATTAATATTCTCAACCTGTTTCCCATTATAGCTCACGTAGAAAAGTATGTGATATCTCACAGAGTAGCTGGGCCTTACTTTTCTTTTCTGCCTCGAATGTTCTTCACCATATCCTAAGGCCCACCCACCCCCTCTGCCTGGCTATCTACCATCTCTCCCAGAAGCCTCACTAATCAAATCAGCGTCTCCTATTACAATCGCTCATCACAGTCTTTATTTTGCTATGTTGTTGTTGTGAAGTGCCATCAAGTCAGTTCTGACCCACAGCAACCCTGTATAGGGTTTCCAAGGAGCAGCTAATGAGCTTGAACCGCCAACCTTGCAGTTCAAATGGCTTTTCAGTCTGGTGCATTAACCCACAGTACCACACCAGGACTCCCAATTTCATTATACTCATCCCAATTTCCAATCACATTTCCTTCAGAGCAAATTCAATTTCTTTCAGAGTATTATCATGGGCTGCTTAAACTCAGCCCATCTCTATTTTTTGTTCCATAAATGTAAGTGCCACAGGAAGTAGAGACTCTACCTAATTTGTTGTTAGGTGCTGTTGAGTCAGTTCAGACTCACAGCAGCCCCATGTGACAGATGAACTAGCCCATTGAGTTTCTTGGGCTGTGATCTTTACGGAAGCAGATCGCAGGGTCCTTCTCTTGCTGGGTGGGTTTGAACTGCCAACCTCTCTATGAGCAGCTGAGCACTTAGCTATTTCACCACCAGGGTTCTACTTTGTTGTTGTGGTTATGTGCCGTCCAGTCGGTTCTGATTCACAGCAACCCTGCATAAGGTTTCCAAAAAGCAGTGTGGAACCACTGATGTTGTGGTTCAAACCAATCTTGCAATCCAACCCACTAACTTGCAGCACCATACCAGGACTCCACAGATATACATCATCAACGCTCAGCACAGAGCCAGTCATATTTGTTGTTACGTGCCATCAAGTCAGTTCAGACCCATAGCGACCCTGTATAGGGTTTCCAAGAAGCAGCTGGTGATCCTGAACCGCTGAACTTGCAGTTCAAACGGCTTTGCAGTCTGGCACATTAACCCACAGCACCATACCAGGCCTCCCGAGCCAGTCATATAGTAGGTACTTAATAAATATTTGTTGAAGTAGCAAATGAATGGCATTCACCAGCAGCAATATTTGGAACCTACCAGCTGGTGTGCCAAGATACAGATTTTCTCAGCCCTTAAGGCAGCTGGAGAAAGGAATCCATCAGGTCCCTCCCACCCTGTGAGCCATATAAATACCACCATTTTCTACTACAAGTGCCATAATAGGAAAAAGAATGAGAATAAAATCAACACTCCTCCTTTCTTGAAATTTCGGAAACACCTTTGATCAATGCCTTTACTTCTACATTTTTCCAACTACTTACCCGTTATCTTGCTTTTGGATATATGTTCAAGAACCCATCTAGGCACCCGCTTTGCCTGATCGTAAGATAAGGCATGATTAGTATAACATTTAGTCTCCGTTCCAGTTAAAGGAAATCCAAACTGTTCCAAGAGAACCTTTTCTGTGGATCCTAAAATTGAAAAGATGGGAAAAACAAAAATCAAAATTAGTAACTCTCGCTAGGAATGAAAGAGTGTAAGGAAACAGAGAAGCGTGAGCTCTAAAGTCTAATCCACCAGGAGGTGCCATTTTTGAAATTACATATAAGGCAATGAAAACACACAGTAAGCCAAGTACTAGTTTTGCCTGCAATCAGTTGTAGAGTTATATCAAGATAAATTGCAGCTAAGTCATTAACTTTCAAATAAGGACTTGATCTTATTGGTCTTTCACATCAAATTTCCATATGTGCATACACAAAAGCAGTAATCAAAGGAAAACTCATATCAATATTAGCAATCAATCACTGATATAAATTAATGGGAAAGACCTACTTATTAAGGTTTTAAGAGTGAGTGTGGGGACAAAAGCAGAGCCTTTTAGATTTTCAAAAGACCATCATTCCTCACCACTCTCCCTAAATGTACTGCTACTGAAGCACTGGTAGTGTAGTGGTTACAAATCGGGTTACGAACTTCCAAGATCAGCAGTTCAAAACTACCAGCAGTTCCATGGGAGAAAGATGAGGCTTTCTGCTCCCGTAAAGATTTACAGCCTCGGAAACCCTGTACAGGGTCGCTATAAGTCAGAACGGGCTCCACAGCACATAACCACCACCAATGAAGCACGAAGCAGCCCTCATAGCGGAGGCCTGAGTTGAACCTACCAGCCATTCTGTGGGAGAAAGAAGAGGCATCCCTCTCCCATAAAGATTTACAGCCTTGGAAATTCTCACCATGAGTGATAACAGACTAGCTGGCAAATGACCACCACTGAACCCTGATAAGCATGCAGTAACAAGACAGTAGTGAATCCAGTATTACTTTTCCTAGCAGGAGAAGCCCACTGACCTTGCAGTTCACAGCTCAATACTTAACCCATTGTACACCAGGGCTCCTTGGGAGAAATCCAGCCCAGACTTAAATAGGGATTCAGGGTCAGGATAACGCCTTCTTAATGCATTTTCCTGTCTTCAATCAATCAGTATAGTTCTCTTGCTAAATGCCAACTATCCAAACGAGGGATGGCGTGGTGTTGTGGGTCAACGTGCTGGACTGCAAAGTAAATTTGAACCACAAGTTGGTGGTTCAAGCTCGTTATACAGGGTTGTTGTGAATTGGAACTAACTGGACCGTGACGGCGCTTAATAACAATCAGGGGAAAGTAAGAAATGAGCACGCACTCACTTCAAATATAACATACCCTTGGTAACTGGAGGATTTTACAGTTTTGAAGAGGGCAAGCTGGCATTTTTCATTTGAATGATGACAAAAGGAAGGGCAGTTAAGTAATCTGCTAATCCAAAACCAAACCCACTGCTTTCTAGTCGATTCTGACTCATAGTAACCACACAAAACAAGTACAACTGCCCCCGATAGGGTTTCCAGGGCTGTAGGATAAACACGTGACTGTTAATCTCGAGATCAGTGGTTCAAACCCATCAGCCACTCCTCGAAAACCCTATACAGGGTCGCTATGAATAGAAACAGAGTGGATGGCACGTAACAACAATAAAACTTTTTTTTTTCATCGTTACAATTTATTCACCATACATTAGAAAATTTAGACATTCTTACAAACTATAATTCAAGCTATAGTTAACTCATCAAGAAACTGGAAGTAAACTAGTGATCTGAATGAATATCTCTCTGCATGAACAACAATAAATCTTTAAGAAAGCTGACTTGTCACACCTTTCTCACGTGGAATGGTTGGTGGGTTTGAACCAATCTTTTGGTTAGCCTCCGAGCGCTTTAACAAACCACTTCCAGAGCTCTAGTCTGCTAACATGAGTTCATTCACTCATTCCTAGTTAGTAAATGGGTATACGATGGAGAATAAGAGTGTGTTCCAACTCTCACGGCGCTTACTGCCTAACGGAGGACACAGACATAAATCAAACATATCCCGGTACTGTGAAAAGTGGAACGGGCAGAGAAAACGAAGCTGCCTCGGTGAAGACAGTACGTGAAGGAGGCGGGCGAGACGTAGGGGAGAAATCACAGTTCACGCTCGATGTTCGGAAGGCGGAACGGGGGCCGGAACCTTACCGTCCGGCGCCCTCGCCGCCAATGCAGTCTCCGCGCTCTGACTCCGAAGGAACTGCAGGGCCGCGAAGCCAGCTCCCGCAGCACCCACTACGGCCCCGGCCACAAAGCCACTCAAAAAACGCCGGGATCCTCTGAGGCGGGAAGCAAAATTCTTTACAGCCATCTTATCCTGAGCCGCAGATTCCCGTGACGCATGCGCACACCGGCCGACTGATAGCCAATTGCAACCGCAGAACCAGGACGCACATTCGCAACCAGGAGACGCCGGAGGCCCCGAGCGCATGCGTATACCTTACCCGTTGGTGGCCTAGCGCACCCCCTGCTGACATACCTGGGGACCCAGGTGCACTTGTCTCACTTCTTCCCAGCTTGGCGGCAGGATGGATGGGAGGCAGCTTGACGTCTTGAGGGCTTCAAACTCATTGCGGTTGAGTTGATGCCTACTCATAACGACCCTAACGATCCTGTGGGATACAGGTGTTGTTGTTAGGGGTCATCTAGTCGATTCCGACCCATAGCCACCCTGTATAGGGTTTCCGAGGAGCAGCTGGTGAGCTTGAACCGCTTTGCAGTCTGGCGCATTAACCCACAGCGCCACACCAGGGCTCCGTGGACTAGAGTAGAAGTGCCTTATAGGATTTCCAAGACAGCATACTCTTTACCGAGGGAGCGCCATGGCTCTGTGTAAGCACTAGACTGCGAACCAAAAGGTCGGCTGTTAGTCACTAGCAGCTCTGGAGAAAGATGCGGCTTTCTGCGCGGGTAAAAGATTTACAGCATGGAAAGAAAACCCGAGGATGTTGTTAGTGCTCTCCAGTCGGTCCTACCCATAGCGATACAGACTCTTATCAATAAAGCTCTTTAGGGAAGCCGACTATAGTGTGCATAGACAATTCTGAGGAAGTTTTACTCCTATAAGAGAGGAAGCTACATGCCCGCGCTTACACTGTGTTCCCTAAAGCTAAAATTCCCTTTAGGTCTGATTCTAAAACCTGTGCCACGTTGGATGTCTTCATGACACCTGGCTTCAAAGCTTCGACAAACAGCTTTGTATCTCCTGAAAGGACCCCCTACTAAAATTACAGGGGTTGGGATCAGCACTCCACTATTCTCCATTGAGGGATATTCCATCTTTAGGGTTGTTTCCTTTCTTAAATGGCAATACCAGCGGCCCATTGGAAAACCAATACAAGGTCGCTATGAACGGACCCACTCGACCACTCTTAACAACTACTACTGTTATTATTAAGGAGCTCTGGTAGCGTAGTGGTTATGAATCGGGCTGCGAGCCTCAGGGTCAGCAGTTCGAAACTACCAGCTGTTCTGCGGGAGAAAGATGAGGCTTTCTGCTCCCGTAAAGATTTACTGCCTTGGAAACCCTGTACAGGGTCGCTATGAGTCGGAACCGACTCCATGGCACATAACAACAACAACAACAACTGTTATTATTACTACTACTACTTTTAGTAAGGAGCCCTGGTAGAGTAGTGGATTGTTCGTTGGACTGCTAACCTCAAGGTCAGCAATTCGAATCTACTAACTGTTCCATGGAAGAAAGATGACTTTCTGCTCCAGTAAAGAATTACAGCTTTGGGAGCCCTATGCAGGATTGCTATGAGCTGAGCTGCGCTGTGGGTCAATGCGCTGAACTGCAAAGTAGGGTTGAACTGCAAGGTTGTCTGTTCAAACTCACCAGCTGCTCCTCAGAAACCCATGCAGGGTCACTATGGGTTGGTACTGACTCAAACAAGATCACACACAACGACTACTACTACTTAAATCATAGGGCTCTGGCTAGGAGTAAAGGAGATAATAACACAGGTGAAAGTGGCTGGAGTTAACGTGCTCTAGAAATGTTAGTGCTTTTTATGAATCATCTCCACTTTCTCCAGAAATATAAAACCTGGATTGTTTGTTGAATTCCTGCTTCGCAGAGTAAGGACTTAACAGTGTGCATTTCATCCACTCAATGCATTTTGCAGCACACCTTCCAGCTAGCATACCATGTGCACTTGGGTCTTTGAAGACCAGTCAAGTTTTTCACTTCTTAGATAACTGGTGGGAATCCCTTTCATGTACCTGACTGATGATTCGCTCAACAGGAGGTGATCTCTAACAACTAACTAAAAGTAGACATTGTTCTGAAAGCTTTTGACTTTGACTCCATGCCTTCTCCCTCACCCAACCAGTGCCTCTAAGGAAGACATTTTCTATGACTCAATAGGTCTCAGACCTTGGTTGGTTGTCAACCATGGTTCTTTCTAAGAACTTTAAATCCAAAATTCTCTCCAGGTAGCAAAGCTGTGACATGTGAAAATGGTACTATCTACAGACTTGCTTTCTGCTAACTTGACAGAAGTCAGAGGCACCTAGTCTTACATTGAGCAACAATAGAAGCATCCCTTTGTAAGGGTTGACTGGCCACTTCTCCCAGCATCCGTCCAACAAAGTACCTTTAAGGAGACCTGTTCTTGTTCTTGTTAGGTGCCATTGAGTCGGTACTGACTCGTGGCGACCTTATGCACAGCAGAACGAAACACTGCCCGATCCTGGGCCAACCTCACTACTGTTGCCAC